AGAATTCGTCCATAATCACCGAAAACACGACTCCCGAAACACCTCTCCATTCTTCCTCATGATGGGCTATGAGCCTCGAGGAATTCCTTACGCTTTCCCCGACTCCGCTATCCCTGCCGCAGAAGACCGAGTAAAACACCTCCAGAAGATTCGAGAAGAAGCCCTTGCCTGCCATAAACTAGCAATGCAACGTATGGCCGAACGATCATTTGGAAGAAAGTTTGAACCCTGGAAACCTAAAGACAAAGTTTGGTTATCTGCTGCGCATCTTATCACCCATCTCCCATCAAAGAAGCTTGCGCCAAAGCGATACGGCCCCTTCGAAATTGAAAAAGTTCTCTCCCCTATCACATTCAAACTCCGTCTCCCAGAATCTTGGAAATCTCACCCCGTGTTTCATGCTTCTGAACTATCATCCTATCGGGAAACTGAAATTCACGGCCCGAACCACCCTGAACCACCACCTGATCTTATCAACGGACAAGAGGAATACGAGATAGAAGCGATCCTCGCCCACAAGGGAAACGTAAAAGGAAGACGCCGTTTCCTCGTGTCATGGAAGGGTTACCCTAGTTCAGAAAACTCATGGCTGCCCGAAAAGGAACTTCAGAACGCCCTAGAAATCCTGAAAACCTATAAAAACCGCCTCAAATTAGCCCGACTTCTCCATTGAACACTCGTCTCCAGAACCAATTCTAGCAGAACAAACCATGTCTTCGTCCTTCCAACTCGCTGAATACTTCGACCTCGTTAACGAGATTGACGCTGCCTCCCTCGTAGAATCCGCCCTGTTATCCCCACAACATGCTCTTGAAATAGAACGCATCCTCACTGAAAGAGAGGATGACACCACCTTTACCACCGTCAATATCATCCGCACCACTAGTCTCTTGGAAACCATCGCTGAAAATGTAGGCAATGCCGACGCTCAGCGCAGCATCCTCTATTGTCAAAGAAAAATACGGACCTTCGCTCTCCATCTCCTTCCCTTGTATTTCAAGGAGGATGTAACGCAAGCCATACAAACCATCGCAGAACGAGTCACAACCAAGGTCGCCATTCCTCCCCCACCTCCTCCTACTGCTATCCCCGTCACCCCTGAACCGACAATCACACTACCCATCCTTCCACCGCAGAACGCGCTCAGGCGTTCAGAACGTCGTAAAAGCTCCGCAAAGAAAACACCTTACAAACCCAAATCATGCTCCCCTCCAAAGAACAAAGACCGCTGCTCGCAGCCAGATATCGTAACCCCTCCAAAGTCATCCAGATCGCTACCACCCCCTCTTTCCTTCGATGACAACATCATTTGCCGCCACTGCAAAGAAATGGGACATCGTCACAAGAACTGCCCAGGATATTACTGCAGAGCGTGCCTCGTGTTCAAGCCTGGACACCTATCGGTCTTCTGCCGCCAACTCAACGGCGAAAGAGTCCTCCCCATGGAGCACAACGAAGACGGCTTCTATGACGCTCTTGCTAAATGGGAAGCGGACCAAGACGAACTTATCGAGCGAATTGAGCGAGAAGCAGAGGAGCTCGCCAAAAACGCACGGGGGACGATCTGTTGGAGTTTCATAACGCTGACGCGGATCTCGTCTACTACGACGATGCAAGGTTGGAAAGTTGCTGAAGTCGGTGACTTCAGACGATAAACAGGGGGTAATGTTACAGCGGCCCCATCATTTTTCTCATCATCATGCTTCTCCGATCTATTCCTGTTATCTCTGACTGCTTATCAACATGCACTGCATGAACACTCTAGATACTTCCGACTATTCTTGTTATCTTTGGCTGCTTATCAACATGCACTGCATGAACATTCCAGATAGTTCTATGATGATCTTCTTGACTCCTTTCACTTCCATAGTCGGCCTGGTCCGTGCCTCCTTTGCCCATTATAAATACCGCAGTAGTCACGCTTGTATTCTCTAACTTGAATCTACTTGGTTCTCTCTGATACTTGATTATCTTCTGAGGAAGATACTTGATTCCGATCTAGCTCTTATAGAGACTAGCCTATATTCGAACTTCACTTAGAGGGAGAGTCCCTCAAGTGTCTGAACTGAACGTCGTAACACGAAGAACTCCTTTATTGGATTAGTTACGCAAGAACTATCCAAGTCGTAACACAGATAGTGTGCACTGCAGAATCTAAGATTGTATCAACCACTCATGGCTAATTGTAGTGCACTTAAGAAACACTTTGGCCAGCTAGAGCCCTCTAGGAGGAATTATTTCTCAGATTTCATTGTGTCTTACGGTAATAGCAGATTATCTGATGATCTTGCTGAAGCTCTGTACAATTTTACCTAGAAGAAAAATGCTCAAAAGTTGGGCAAAAGCATTTTAATCAGGCAACTTAGGCTGGATCTTTCTTTTTCAGCCAAAAACAACTTATTGGATAGCATTCAAACAGTCACTCTAAAGTCTTTGCCTACAACTGCTGGAAAGATTGGGTTGTCTCTAGTCACTAACCATATTTTCGCATACTCCGCAGACCTCTTCTTCACATTAATTCCTCTAGCCTCCAACTAGTGGTGCATGAAACAGAAAACTGCATTATTAGAGATGCAGCAGATTCTAGCATCATTGCAGTAGTAATTCACAATTTTTGTGGTCATCCTGGAGTATTATTTTGGGTTGATGAAGTTGTCTGTGATGCAGTGCAGGAAAAAAACATCAGGGTATGTTGAATTTTTTAAATATAGTACAATAATCTCTAATATGACTATATGCTTAAGATTAAAGATCCAGGTGTCCTTGCTCAAATAGGATATTCAGCAGGATCTCGCTCTGCACTGAAATTTGACTAAATGCAAAACCTACTGTCAACCAAACTCTCTTCTAATGAGGTGGACGCACTGGACTTTAGTTCAAGTTTAGTGTTTGCACTGTTTTACAATGTGTGGAATGCTATGCTGCTCCAAGAAATTATTGATGATCTCTACAAGTTTCTGAAGGCCAATGATATCTGTCACATGGCTAGAGTGGCAAATTCCACTGACAATCTACACCCACTTGGCTGATAAGTAGTTGGAACAGGAGAAAATAGTGTTTACTATAAGTTTAATGAGGTGGAAATAGCACCTCCAGCTGATGTCTTTGCTTTAAATTATTCTAGGTATGTTTGGTTTTAATAGTTAATAAATCCATTAATTATTACACCAGGGCTACATATTCTGAGCACCAGCCCTATAAATTTACCATCTCATGGACAACCAACTGATCACCTCAAAGTATTGGTAGACATTGTTATAACTGCTCTCGAGGCATTCAGGTTGAAATTGCTCCTAATATCCTTGTGGTCTGGCAGCCAGGGAATGTTCATGGCACTAGTCTTCAAGTCTAAAACCCTAATGATCCTAATCTAGCCTTTGTCCATACTGGAATGGTCATTGTAACTTCAAACAGACTTTCTAATGCATGGAAAAAGTACAAGAATATCAATTCTGGAATTGCCTAATTGGAGTTGAAGCTGCAAGGAGAGGAGGTAGATGATATCCCTGACATTTAGCCTACTATAATACTGTCCTATGTGTATGTATTGAAGGATGTTGCAGTTAGTTGTGTAGTTGTGCCAAGAGTTAAAGTTCTGCCTTTAATATAAATATCTGATATTGCCCCCCCAATAAAACACAAAAAGAACACAATGTATTGCTGGCAATACTTATGACCCTTAGTTTCATCACAACAAAGCTAACAACAGATTCACTCAATATATGCACAAGTCAGCATGACCAACCACTCCCCAGTGCTGATTCTTGGGACCACAATGCCAGCATCAACACCTCCAATGCCAATGTCAATACCATCCTAGTACCCTGCAAGGTCCAGCATACAGCCACCAAATATGTCAGCAAATGACAACATATTGCAAATACAAACACATCTAATCACAAAGCACAGAGATAACAAAGAAGATGGAGAGCCCACACACTATGTCACCTACACTTGTCATGCAATGGCTTGAGAAGATTCTCGTGGAGTGGAGTAGGTAGGGTTGCAACCAGTTGGTTGGACAATGGGGAATGTGATAGTCTAGAAGAAAGAGTTGTTAGTGATTATTGGATTGTTGCACACAACTTACTTGAATTGATTGAATTGATGGTTATTATCTTCGACGATGGCCTCCATAATGAACTTGTAATCATTGATAGACACATCAGAGAAGATCTTTGGGATGAGTCAGTGTGCAAAATTATTGTGGGAAACTAAGCCTGAAGGCCTCATGCCTTAAAATCAGTGTTGGTGCCCTCAGGCTGTCTTTTGCCTCTAAGAAAAGAGATAATCTTCCCACTCAAAACTATCACAAAAGCTCAACGCAGGTTTGAATGCCTAAAGGAAAAACTGACCATTTTTTTTTTGGAAATCTCAAGTTTGGGCTCTTTTGCTGAGGAAGGTGTTATGAGTTGAAAACCATGGAATTTGTGGTTCAATGCTGCAGAATTTAAAGGCGGGATTGCAGCCAAATGGGCTGCTGGAGATATTGAGGTCTGTTTGAGGAGCTGAGGGCAATTCATTTCAAGAGAGATCTCTTTGCATGGTGCCCCAGAAATTGTTGCTCTGTGATTGGCATGGTGAGAGAGGCATAGCGTGCCTGATGTGGCATCATGGTCAACTACACTTATATATACACAGCAGAGCCCCGAGCCTTATCCATGATCGCAGGGGCTGTCACAACCAGCATTTTCTGCTATAAGGGATAAGTTTTATTGTATGTAGTATAGACACAAACTCAAGCTAATATGCTATTTCATGAGCAGGGTAATACAAAAACTTGTTGACATATGTCGGAAAAAAGTTCCCAGGGTTTTAAGGCCTTGCAAGACATTTTAATGCTCTATTTGGAGGGTGTCCTTATAAGGGCTTTTAATCGGATAAGATAATATTTTAATGCTCATTAAAAGGCACTTATAAGGGCCTTTTTGATGACCTTACATTGAGTTTTGCCTCGCCATACCTCAGAGCGGCCCGTTGAAATGCCTTGTAAGGCCCTTTTAAGGTACCGAGCCGACCTTGTAATCCGGCAGTATCACAATGGTACCTAACTTTTTTCCGACATAGTAGGCCAAAACAGCCAACAAAGAATCAGTGTGTTTGAGTGTGCGTGGAATGAATTGTGAGCTGTAAACACCTATCAGGTGTGCTACACACATTATACTGTCTAAGTGAATGATAGACACAAGTTGCTCCCCACTGTGGGTGAAAAAATAGGACTGTGAACTCTGGGAGTCACAAGGAAATATACCTTGAGAGGTGAGCTAGTAGAATCATCCCAAAGGGATGTCACTGATGCTAATCTCTCTAAATGATGAGAGGATTAAGAGCTGGCGGTAAGCCGAAGGTATGCGAAGGCTTACAAAGATGCACCATGTATATGTGATGTGCGTGTGTGATGCGCGATGTAGAGAGTCATCTTTCTACAGGCTTATATTGCATCATTCCCACATCAACCCCATCACTATCCGCAGGTAGGTGTGACCCTGTAGGGACACACACTGTATGTGCGACCATCGGTGCTTATCCGCATCACACATGCCACCTGTGCACCTTATATGTATATTTGCGCTCTACTCAGCATATCTTCACATGTCCTGTCCTGTCTGTCCGGTTCTGTTGGTGCATACTCTTACTGTTATTACTGTCACTGACCACATCCAGGTTTCATGACACATATGTTACATATTGATCTGCTTCCTTTGCGCTTCCGCACTGCCTATCCACTTCCCTTGTACTTCAGTATCCTGAGAGCGCATATAGCTACATACATATCTAGAGGACTTAGGATAATTTGACTTACTTTTACTTTCCCTGACTTGGACTCGGTATTTGTCTTCAGCCGAGTTTGCGTGCAGAGCGCTAAGATCATCACTGTTTCTGTCTATCATCTTTCTAGTCATATTAAGACTCATCTATCATATTCATAAGGATCCCTATCAGGTAAGAGGCGGCTAGCGCACAATATTAGCACTCTGCATGCAAACTCGGCTCATCAGGAAAATAGAAAAATAGAAAAATAGAAAAATCTTAATGAACCTTAGATAAAACTTAGCATCACTTAATAAATATTTTAAGTCAGATTCAGCAAAAAAAAAATTACAAAAATTGTGACTTGCCACAAGTAGGGTCTTTGGATGAATGTGACTTAACTACTCTGATTGCTGTGCTTATTATAGCTAAGCAACTTGAAAGGTACTACTAGTATGCAGTCAACTCAGCTTGAAGTGGTACTTACTACTAGTGGGGAGATTGTTTCAAAGTGCTTTCAGGCCCCAAAGTTTCAAAAGTCAAAATTAAGTGAAAAATGTATGGGTGACTTGGTGCTACTTATTGCATGTGCACCACTTCATGTACTTTATACTACTTTACCCCTTTCTGAGTGGTTCTGACTGAACTTGAGTGCATCCTTAAGGACACAAAGTGAGATAAGCTAAAAGCAGCATGTACTACCCTTCCTGATAGTAGTAGTAGCCTTCAAGTGGTGAGAAAGCATCTGTTCAAGCATTAAGTAAGGCAAAACAGCACAAACAGTGTCTATTTTCATATGGCAACTAAGTACAAAGCGAGTTGAGGTGGCAGGCAAGAGCAAATACTAAGCATGGCAAGAACTATCAAAACATGTCAGAGGTGTGGCTAGTACTAGGCTAGTAGTGGTAGGTCCATGATACTAGTACTAGTATCACCAGATAGCAGCAGCAGCTCTCTCCAACTCAGAGTTGGAGAGCCTGAGGGAAAGGATAGTAGCTAGTAGTAGTACAGTGAACAAGTGGAAGAAACTCAGGCTCATTTACACGCCGTGATGGCAGGAAGACTCGGTCTGGATATTAACACCAGCAGCAGCATTGGCCCACTAGCATTAAACATTAGCCTCGTAGTAGTAAATACAATGAAAAAAAAAAATCACTGTCTGCTTCAAGGAAGGTGCAAACCACGTTAAGGCTCCTACTCCACATCAGAGCCGCGGCCGTCATCTCCCTCGGACTCGGTGTCTGATATATCCACCAACTGAGCACGCTCATCCAGAAAGGTCATCCTCCATGGCAGCATCATCAATGTCATCACCAGGACGACAACTCATCTTTGAGAATTCCATGGCAGATGCAATGATGACTTCGAACTTGTCCTAGCGGAGGTTCTTCATGATAGCCTTTGCATAGGCACGTGTAGATGTACCCCAGGAGACGTTGTTGAATCATGTTTGCCGACAGGACACCTTGCCGGTAGACTGATTCATTGTCTTCGGCAATGAAATGCTAGTTTTGTTCTTCACAGCCTGAACCATTTTAAAGGTGAGCGTACGAGTAGACCAGAGGGCCAAAGCTTGTTTGACCTAGTTAAAACGGTTGGTGAGATTACAGAATAAATAAAATGACAAGTACATACCGTGGCACACGACAATGCAAGACCCTCAGCAGGATTCGCCAGTACACCTGGCTTGTCTACCCCAGGTATCTTCCGAGTGCCACGGGTTGTGGTGAAGTGTGCACCAAAGGTTTGCACAATAAATACACCTTGATAAAGGCCCCACAATTTCTGCACTAAGCATTAGCACAACGACAACTCAGTAATTGATTGAGATGGAAGGAGTACATACAGACTTGTCATTGCCATTCGCCTTCTTGTATAAGAACCAAAGGTTGCTGAGTGCGTACTCCGCAAATTCTGCACGATTGTCATTGGAGTCCCTCAGTGAGTCCTGAGATTTGAGGTACGCAATGACAATCACAATAGCCGCTGAGCCAATGTGGCTGTGGTAGGAGTCGGTGATTCGCTGGACAGCCTATATTGAAGTACATCTATATTAGTACCGCCATTGATAAAATTGAGTGCACTTACAATGTAGTAGACTGAACTAAGGCTTGTCACTGTGTGGGTAATGTTGGGAAAGACCACATCCCAAATCACCTGCATCTTCTCACACACCAGCTTGGTGGGAACCTTCCAGGGATTGGCCAATGTTGTGACATATTGGATGTATGTTGGGATAAAGACACGGTGCCAGATTGTCTGATTGATGCCTTTGGGGAGGTCGTCATTGCTGGGTTTCTTCACTGGTTCAGTTTGATAGACAGGGGAGCCTTTAACAAGAGCCTGTAGTAGTAGTCAGTAGTGAAATAAACACAATGTCAAAACAAACACTCACTGAGCTCATAACTCATTTTTTACCTTTGGGAGGGCTAGTGATCACAGCCTCATGTTCGAGACCGTGGGTCTCATCCTCATCAGAGAGTCCTCCATCAATGATTTCAAGGCGATGATTCTTTTTGGGTTCTTCGTTGATGTGAATCACTGGCGCTGCATGAGAAATCAAAATGTTGTTGGTCAGGACTGAATTAGATGATGATTGAGTGCTGCCATTGGTCAGGGGGGGAAGAACAGATCCACTGTGGTGCGAGGTTGAGCTATTTTTAAAAATGCTGGGCCGGCTAGTGTTGGCCTTACTACCAGGCTTTGTGTTCTTTGGGATGCTTGCGGCCCAATCATTGATGCCAGTTGAAAATTCCTTTATATCGGTAGTACTAGTAGAATCACTGAGAAAAAAAAAAAGGTTGTTTCATCGAGGGTGAGCATGATATTGATGGGACAAGTCACAACAGGAAAAGAAGAATGGAACTTCATACCTTTTCAGCTGAAGCGGTTTCTTATCACATTGTTGCTCGTCCTTCCCCTTCCCCTTATCATTTGGCATCCCCATTGGCATCTCCTTCCTGCTAGCACTTTCTTCAGTCTGATTATCACGAGGCTGTGCCTGAGGTGTGTTCTCATTGCTCAAGACCAGCATTGCCCACTGAGGCTTATCTGGGAGATCAGTAGTATCCATAGGTTTGTCATCTGAGTGATTAACCTGAGCTGGTGGGGCTGATTTTCTACTAGGAGCCTTCTTAGGCACATTCCAAATTGGAAGGTTGGTGACCATGACATCGTCATTGAGGCTGTCAGCTGGGAGGGCTGATCTTTTGGCGCGAGCCGGCTGAGGTGTTGTGTCAATAACCTGGACACTCGACTCTGTATGCAATTCAATACTTATTGTGCTGGCAGGTGGGGCTATCTTCCTCTTCTTATTCTTCTCCTGCTCATTCACCTCTTCAAGTTGCGCCACCTTGATTGCATCCTGTACCTTAGGCTTCTTAGCCTGCACCTTCGTGCCCTCCTGTTTGTCGACCTTCACCTTCTTTTTGGTGGCGATGCAGGATTTTCACTCAGCTCTGAGTCATCTGCATGGGAGTCAGTTGTTTCTGAGGCTTGAGATGGATCTGGATTGAAGGTGCTGGTGTCAGCGACGGTGTCGTCCATCTCGACATCAGAAATGAACATGTTGTCTTCCACAGGCAGTGGGGTGGGTTTGACATGAATCTTCTTCAGAATGGGCCTTGGATGGGGTTTTGGCTTTGGTAAGGCTGCAGCCCTTGGGGTAGCATCAATAAACATGTCCTTGTTGGCTTGGTTCTTCTCATATTTGGCAACTCATTTGATCCCAGCGCCTTTGGCACATTCCTTCTCTTCTTTGATGTCTAACTTGAACTGATGCTCAGCAGCTACTTTTGCTGTTTTACGATGTTTATTCTTCAGGACCACGTCTGGAAGACCAGGATACTGAGTTGCATTCTTGGTGCGGGTAACGTGGTGAGCAGACATATTGATGAGTTGGAGTGTTGAAAGGGGGAAGACTTGAAAGGTGAGCAAATTTCATCAACTTTACGATTGTGGTAGTAGTAATAACTAAATGGCTCAATTTGGGACTTAGATAAGTTCAGGGTTTTGCCATGCCTCACTAGCATGGCACATTGACATTGGACTCCGGGCCCAGTATGTGTTCGATGATACTCTATATGACCACTATCTCATTGATCTTTTTGACCTACAGAGCTGATTGATCATGCTTAGAGTTTAAAAGTCCGGTTAAGTCTGGTCTTTTGCCTTATTTGGAGGCAACCAGACCAGGACCGGTTGCCTTATTTGGCCAATATCAAAAGACCTGGACTGAAACCTGTAAAGGCCGATGTTTTGGTCTTTTGCAGTCCTACAACCAGTTTTAGACCAGTTCTGGTCGCAACCAGTCTAAAACCAGTCTAAGACCGGTTGTAATTCTTCCCACGATTCCAATGGTCTAATTTTTGTAGTAAATGGTGTCTTCTTACTTGAGGGTCTTATATAAAATCAGTGTAAAATGCAGTGACAATCACAACTACACTTTGATAAGACTTGAAGTTGCCAGCTCCTCAAGTTCACGGTCAACGGATTTTCTACTTCTCGGTTGATAATGTGTTGTTCGTGGGTGGTCAAAGAGTAAACAAGTTACCTCTATTTGTTTGAAGAAACTATATAGAAATGCAACTGTGGATTTGTCGTGAATAGAAATATGATAGGTATGTTTCACCCTAGTAGGTCGTGTTTCAACCTATGAAAGTCTGTTTCAACTTTGTCGTGTTCTCCTGTTTCGTGTCTCTCTAGCCGTAAAAGAGAGAGGTAATTGTTAAGTATACGTGGAGCTTAGCTCAATAAAATAGTAATAGCAAGCAACCTAGTTAATCGTATAACTGGAAGTTACTTTGTTGAAATGACACTTGCACCCTCACTATGTCTTGCCTTAATCTCACTCTCAAATAGTGGGATAGGTTTAGAGTGGAAGTTTAACTTAAATCGTACTTCACTGGCACTTTGACTATGTCTTGCCTTAATCTCACTCTCAAATAGTGGGATAGGTTTAAAGTGGGAAGTTTCAATGTCTTCAAGGCACCAATGGCCTGCACTTATGTGTAAAGTGGGAAGCTATATTCACAGGTGTAAAATGGGCTCCTTTTATACCTTTTTGGAGGCCAGATTACTAAGCATGATTCATCACATGGATTGGTAAGAATGTGCTTACAAACCATACCATTTGGTGTGCTGAGTCAGCTTGTTTACTAAGTACATTATAAATACAGTGTGTATCTTACAAAGCATGATAAATCAAAGGTATGAGTCATCTCATGGATTGGTAAGAATGTGCTTACAAACCAAGCCTTGTGGTGAGCTGATTCATCCTGTTTACTAAGAAGATTTTAAATACAGTGAAATCTTACAAAGCATGATCAGTCAAAGGCATGAGTCATCTCATGGATTGGTAAGATTGTGCTTACAAACCAAGCCTTTTGGTGAGCTGAGTCATCCTGATTACTAAGAAGATTATAAATACAGTTGCAAGTCTTACAAACCATGACGAATCAATGACAAAACATGATGAGTCAGGCTGAATCCTTATAAATCACCTTATTTCCCAGTCACATGACATGATTACAAACATGATCAGTCAGCTAGTGAGAAAGTCTGATGAATAAGCCAAGAAAAATAGAAAGATAGAGAAGGTCACAGAACAAAATAGAAATACATGGAAATCCCCGCATCTGACATGAGAAATGAAACACGAGAAACAAGGCTTCAGAAAACAGACTGATGAATCAATGGAAAATGATAGAATCACTTGGTGATATGGTAGAGTACAGTTCATTATACCTTCCTTATCTTTTGTATAGCACACATGTCATGGTATGAACTGCATACCATGCATTACATCCACCTGGCACAAGAAATTACAACTGTCCCCAGTTGTGTGCGTAGTAGATTTTTAATTGATCAGGTCGAAAAAATTTCGACGAAAATTGAACATCATGGACATAAATTTTGATTTGTGGTCTTTGCCGTTGAAGGTGCAATGGTTTAATCATCCGAAGAGAGGGAAGAATGATTGGATTCTGATGACGATAAATTTTCCTCAGAGTGTTGAGCGTCGACAAGAGTGTTGGCAATTTCACGTAAGGCAGGATCACTTCGGCTGACATACGGAATCAATCTAAAGGCAGCTACACCACGTCTAGACAGAGTTCCATTCATTTCTTGTAAAATGTAAGATCCTCCTTTGGTTTGTCTCTCAACAACAAAGGGTCCTAAGTATCTTGGTTTGGTTTTGCGATTCAATTCTTTCTCAACTTGAGTGTTTCAGACAAGGACAAGATCACCAGGATGGAATGATTTCTTATGCATCCTGAGGTGATATTTTTGTTCAAACTGAAGCTTAGACTTAAATCTAGCCTTCTTTAAGGTCTTTGCTGCACGTCTTAAGTCTTCAGTTCTTCTTTCAATTTGGCGTATTTGTAATGCGAGGAAATCAACGGAGTTGATAAGTCAGTCAGTCAGTCAGTCAGTCAGTCAGTATATACCCTAGCAAAAGTCGGTTGGCCAGATCACCCAATCAGTCAAGTCGTCAATCTATTCCATCCATCCATGTATAACAAATAATAAAAACTATAGCTGTCTAAACAGTTTTAAGCAAATCACAAGTTCTGATCTGTCTAGAAGCTCTCCTGGTTGTGTTAGACTCTGACGGCCTCAAGTCTTATCAGGCCGGGATGTACTCCATGAAGGAGGTAAAATGGAGAGAATCCAGTTGCACGACTGGTCGTAATGTTTTCGGCAAAGAGTGCCTGAGGAACCTTCTCAGGCCAACGTGAGATGTGTTTTCCACAACTTTTTACTATTGCTTCTCTGATATTGAAGTGTCCACGTTCAACTACCCCATTGGCTTGTGAATTGTAGGGTGAGATTTGAATATGTGGAATGTCCACTTGTTCAAGTAACTGTTGGAATGCTCCCTTAACTTCAGGGCCATTATCTGTGACAATCTGTCCAATCGCACCATATCGGCAATACAAGTCTTCCCAGAAGAACTTGGCCATAGCTTTGGCGGACGCAGATCGTAGTGCTCTTCCTTCTACAAATTGTGAGAGATCATCACGAGCTAACACTAGATGCTTCATACCATTCCCGGCTGGCATCTTGAGTATGTCGATATAGGTCTTTGTGAAAATTGTAGCAGGTGTAGAGACAGTGATAGGAATGTGCATCTTTTTAACGGTTCAAATTTGACAGTCATGACAAGACTGCACGTGATGCTTGACGTCGGTATACATGTGAGGCCAGAAAAATCTGTAACGTACAGTTTCAAAGGTTGATTGAATTCCTTTGTGGCCTAATTCTTCGTGTGCACCCATGAGTATAGAAATTCGTTTCTCAGGGTCGAAAATGACAAGTAAAGGTAGTCTGTCAAGTAGGTGTTTATACATTTTGCCATTCTGAACGAAAAACCTAGTGGTTCGCTTGACAAATTTCCTTCGTTTTGCAGTACTCTCGAAGGTTGGTGCTTCTAATGTGGTGAGGAATTTAAAAATGTCAGTCAAAGTCTGCTCGTGATCAGCAGCTGACAAGTATGCAGATGGTAGTGTGCTTTCACTATATGATTTGGTGGAAGAACTTGTGATAGATGGCAATAAAACAATCTCATCTAACCAAGAATCGTCTTCGGGTGTGATTTCTTCGTCTGAACCAAGAGGGCGTTGAGATAGGCCGTCTGGTCCTTTAAAATTGGTAGCAGGTACGTGATGAAGTGTAAAATCGAATAGTAAGATTCCTTGAATCCATCTGTTAATTGTGGCATTGGGTTGAAGATCGGGCTCATTAAGCATGCCCTTAATATATTTTGCATCAACTTCAACATGAAGATTTTGTACTCCAATGATGTGGAGTTGATAGTGACGTAATGCACGGAAAAGACCATAGAGCTCCAGCTTAGGTTGGGAATAACGTGACTCTGCTTCTCCCATAGGTAAAGAACCATAGCATGCTGGACATCTTTTTCCATCATCATCGATTTGTGACAAGATGATTCCCACAGCTATAAAGCTGGAATCAACAGAAAGGTAAACAGGGTTTGAAGAGGTGTAGTCAATACTTCTCATGGCAGGGGCTGAACATACACGCTCTTTGAAAGTTTCGAATGCTTCATTTTGTTTCTCTCCCCAAATGAAAGGGGTGTCTTTTCTCCAGAGCTGAGTAATAGATTTTGCTAGCTCAGAAAATCCTAGTATCCAAATACGAACAGTTCCACAAAGGCCCATAAATCCTCGAGCTTCCTTGACTGTGGAAGGGATTGGCCAGTTAAGAATTTTCGATATTTTCTCAGTATCAGGTAGTCTTCCTTCTGGTGTGCACCTTTGTCCAACGATAAGCACACTAGGAAGGCATAGCTGAATTTTTGTAGCTGAAAATGTTGCACCTACGTCTTTGATACGGTGCATTACTCGGTGAACATCGTTCGCGTGTTCCCAAATAAATAGTCTAATCCCTGGGTTTTCTTTTAAGACCATGGGATTTCCTTCATTGTCAGGGTAGATGGTTTTTGGTCCTTTGACAGGAAGATCATCAATAAAAACATTGGCTACTTTAGGGATTTCGTCCTGCAGTACAAAGCTCATACATTTCTGAAATTCTGCAGGCGCGTTCATATATCCCATTTGTAATGATGTCAATCGGAGCAATCCTAATGGAGTTAGGAAGGCTGTTAAATCTCGGCTATCTGGGTGCATTTTACGTGCATCAAAACCCCAGAATAAGTCAAACACGGTGTAACACTGAGCTCCAGAAAATGATTCTATGAAATCATCCACTATCGGAATGAGGCCAGCGTCTCGAATAGAAATTTTGTTTAATGGTTGGAGGTCATGAACTAGTCGAAGTTTACCATTTTTCTTAAGTACACAGAACCATCGTGAGCGGTAAGCAGATTGGCTCGGTTCATATACTCCTGCATTGATTTTTGACTTAAGTAGTTCAATAACTTTCTGATGTATCCCAGGTGGGATCAGAATATTCTTGTATTCCCAAGGCACGTGTGGAACAGTGGGAATAATTTATGGAGTGAAATATGATTCCTTGAGGGTTCCCCTGTCGGTTTCCTCAAAGGCTAGTGTTTCTTGATTTAATAGCATGACATGTTGAAAAAGTTTCTCCTCCTCAGGCCAAAGAAATCCTTGTGAGTTTAATTTTAGACTTTGAAGTCTTTCTTAGGTTAAGTGATCACTAGGAACAAAATTGGGAGGATATGGAGTCAAATGAACTAGATTTCATAGAGGGTCGTGCGGAAAATGACGATCCACGCGAGCTTCCTGAGGAAAGGTACCAGACACGGGCTTCACTTTCTTGTCAACTCGTTTATACATAGTAAGCATGGGGTTTTCCTCAGGTAAACAAGTAGTTTCGGTTGTGATAATAAGATCAGACTCGCTGTCCGAGTCATCTTCAGTTTATTGATAACACAAGTTTTGTGAATCTTTAAGTCTCTCATAGCATTCTGCAATGGTCTCATCCTCCAATAAGTCTTGGGGATAGACTAGACATTCAGACTCTGATACTGTGGCAGTAACATCAGAGACACTAAGACTTAGAATTTTGTTTTGAGTGAACTTAGAAAATTCACACAATTTTTCAGACCACAAAAGATTAGAATTACAGAACAGGTAACTCATATCTAATGCTATCACTTCTTGACCTTTTTCTCCTATACTTCGTAACCTACAAAGCACATGCAGAAGTCTGGATTTTGGATTTTTGATAAGGACAAACAAACACAAAATGGTAAGACAAAGCACGAAAAAGAAAAATGAAAGAATGATAATATAAATACATAGCTTTGAAAGAATAGAGTTGAGCATCCATATTTTTGTTGATAAGATGTTTTCGATGTGAATGAGTAGAAGTCAATAGAGGAATTTACACGATGGAAGGAAAAATGAGTTTGAGGCTGGAGAAATTGATGGTGCGAAAAACGAGGCTTGAGAATCACTAAAGATCGAAATGAGTATTGAAAATGGTATATGATTAAGAAAGTTTACCTCTAGAACACTAGAGAAAAAATTTCTTAGGTTTGTCTTTTGAGGGCTCCTCCTCCTCTTCAGCAATGTCCAGAAGAATGTACCCTTCGAATACTTCGGATCGAAAAGGGGAGGTAGCCACGATTACGAGTCCAGTGCGCGCGATCCTCAATATGAGGTCTCAATCAAACGCGAACCGGAGAATGTCGTGAACGGTCCCGACGTCGAGAAGACGAGACTCAGTGAGTGCGGAGATGGTGTCCTCGTCAGGGAACAGCATGAGTAAGGTGTCGAGGATTTTTGAGGCAAGTTCTGGCTCCCCATGAGCCTCGGCAATGGCTGAATAAGAGTTGAGCCGTTTAGTCTCACTTACTGAGAAAAACAGATTGACGTCCTCGTAGCGTCCGGCGTATGTTGAGTGCATGAGTCCTCCCTTAATATGTAAGGAATTATCACATTTTATGGTCCCGGCACGCATAGATGCCTCTGCGAGCATGCGGGTGGAAAGGATGGTTTCGACTAAGTGAATGAGATGTCGAGAATGTGCGCAATGGTCAATGATTTCGCGAACACGTTCTTGCCAAGTTCGTCCTGAACGCGGACCGCTGGTAGGGAGTCTGACTCCCCCGGAGATGACAGGATGTCCAGGGTAGCCGTCATGGAATAAATGGATGTTCCAATCGTTAGTGATTAGCTCGTCTTGACAGAAACAATACAATTTGATAGTGTGGATGATGTTAGGGATGTATACCGAATGGTAGTCATTATACTTAGCAGGCTCGGTTAGTAAAAAGCTCTCAGCTTCAGACTTGGTGAGCCCTTCGAATGAGATAGTAGTCTTGCTATCGGCACGAGGAAGACCGTGGTAGGGGATAGTACCGGAGGTCGGTACTTCGATAGGATCAGAATCATAATTCATGGGCACATCATTGTCAATCTGATCGTGTTTCGAGTCTCTCACATTAGACTCAATTGAAGTGGTGTTGTTAAGAATGGACTCGAAGAGACGCGATGGCACACAAGATGTATTGGGATCAAGAGATTTGATTAGGCTAGACTTAGAATTCGGCGGCGTGTGAGGAAACACGCTAGAAGAATATGATATGGTGCACTCGTGTGCGAGTACATAGGCGGGTTTTCTGGCATAGGGTGCACAAAGAAGACATCGAGCCTCTCGCTCGACTCCTCGATGTCTGGTTGCGTAGATTCATTATGGGTAGTCTCGTTAGGCTCATTGTTGTTTAGACGGCCTGTACATTTGATGATAGTGGTGAGTGCATCATGATGGATTAACGAATGCACATGCTCACCATTAGGGACATTAACGTTTTGTCGAGGGTCGTGTGTGCTCATGCCCTCGAGATTGGGGTCTAAGATGGGAGTGCGAGAGACATCGGCCTCGTCATTGAGTGCCGTGTCTGCGAGTAGGGTGAGTCCTGATTCGTCAGCGTGAGAAACTGTGTTGATGTTGAATGAACGGTCCTCCCTACCATAGTTCATGGTAGAAGGAGGCAAAGTCTCTGCCAGCAGTGACATATTTCTGAGAGTCTATGACCATCATGCAGAGAGTGATGAGAGGCCTTGTGAATAGCCCTTGAAATAGAGTTAAAAGGATTGATGCTGATGATATGTTTACTTACTGGTGTGAGAAGATGCTCACGGTAGAAACTCCATCTTGTGAAAGAATTCATAGTTGAAACAGTGAGCTCCCTTGCAAAATGCTGCCGTGGGTGTAAAAACTGCATGGTATTGTCCTGGTGGTTGTATCCTCGTAGAGGTAAGTCAACACTGATAAATGTATTGGTGATTGACTCACAACGTATCACCCTCCTCGAGACTAACTACCTCTATATCCCAGTTGGCCTTGATCTTGTTGGGTTTTATGGGGGTGTCCAGTGACCCAGGTTCTGTGGTATACAGAGACTGCATTTACCCAGACTAAGCGCATGGCATTGGCGAAAATTGCGAAGGTCATCCTCTCCCACCCCGAGATCGCATGCATTCTGTTCATCCTCATATTGGAGCGTTCAAAATACAAATCTCCTACCGCCGATTCCGCTACTTATGGTGAAGCACTTGCGGATAAATCTGTCCGGCCATATACCTTCTTTGCACCAGAGCGGGAGCCAGACAAGCTATTTGGTCCCGTTCACGTGATGGATCACACCTGGATCAATGTTTCTAAAATTGAATATTTTGTCTGGATTAAGCCAGACGACAGGCCCATTGACATCAAATCTCCTCACACAGCATACGGAGTGAGTAATATAAATTTCAACACAATTAAGTTAGTATACTGATATAATCTTTTTCAGACCATGTTTCCGGATCTTAACATGGACCAGGTCAGCAACACCTTGAACACAGGCTTCAACAAAGTCAGAGCAGAGATGGCCAGCACTTTGGACTTAATGGAACCTGATGTCGATCATGCCCATGTGCTTACATCGAGTGACGTCGGATTCGACTGGGAATCGGATCTCACTTACTTGTCAGTTGCTGTCTACAGGACAGCCCACTTCCGGTACTGCGCCTGGTACCGTTGCCAATTCACTGGCACAAAACATCGTTGTCAAGACAGTGGCGCTAGCTCAGAGAGACCTGCAACCAGACAGGCGATCACATCTGAGGTTGATGAAGGGAGACCCTCAACCAGTGCATCGGCCAGTACTTTGGCCAGTACGTCGGGCAGCACTTCAGGGAGCACTTCAGGGAGCACTTCGGGTAGTTCTGTGGGTCGGATGAAAGTGATAGTGATGAGACTGAGGAATCTGCCTTCGTGCCCACCACAGACGTGTAATTCTAGGAACTTCATTACACGATACATTTCGTCATTATGTACTTTTACAAGCGGTTCTTGAGTCAGTACTAGGCTACACATGTATATTACCTACGAAGTGACAATTTTGTACCTGTTATAAGCGATCACTGAGTCTGAATTGACTTGTTCCCTTCAACAACTTCGACATGGCCAAGCACAAGAAGGTCGCTTCTGACGGTGAGCGTGCTTCTTTCTATCTTTACTTGCATGGCAGACCTCTCCTCATCTGTGGACACCTTGGTCAGATGAAGAAGCTGGAAAGTGTCCAGACGAAGGTGCAACGATCAATGAAAACAAATCCTGCACAGAAAATTTTGGACAGTCAATTGGTCAACATCATGGCACCAGAGGCCGCCAAACCAAAACCAAGACCAAGAGCAGTCCTGAAGAAGTCCAAACCGCCAATGAGGTTAAAATCGCAAGGTAGCAAGAATCAGCCCCCAGCGTCTGAACTACAATCACAGTCTCTGAGCTCACCGGAAGAGGATATGCCCAGATCCCAGCTTCGTGGTCCTGACTCGCGGTTTGGTTTTGTTCCCCCCGATGTGATCGCAGAGGTAGACAACACTGTGGAGGATAAGGATAGTTCAGAAGACTCAGAGTAGGAGGATAAGAATGGTCCAGGCGATGACGAGGGTGATTTGGATGACGGCAACAACAATGTAGATGATGCAGATACTGACAATGTTCACAGTATGTGCCTTGTGTTTTTTTTACCTTCGTGCTGCTCACTCTTAGCGTGTTGTTCTTCGATTCAGAGGCTTACAATATTCATGGTATGTGCCCCATATATTTAACTCCCTCATTCACATTTTATTCTATGAAGCTAATGGCTTGCAGATGACATCGATGACAATGAAGTCCAGTCCCTTACCCACAGCACTAGTGGCTTGTGCACGAAGGATAAGCAATGTGCACGTCCTCTCTCTCCGTTTTGGTCCGAGGATGACGACACCATCCCGTCCCCTCCCCGGCGCACTAACAACTCTCCAACGAAGAAAAAGAAACATGCACGTCCAACCTCTCCATCTCCATCTACTGATGATGGTGCGATGTTGTCCCCTCCCCGTGTGAAAAAACAGACACACGCACATCCTGTCTCTCGATCCCAGCCTGCAAATGATGGTGCCCTATCTCATCCCCAACGTGCTGACAACTTATCTCGTCCACAACGCGCCAACAACTCCCATGCTCACTCTGTTTCATCAATGGATAGTGGCATCCCATCTCCTCCAAGGCGTCATGAAGCAGCTAACAACCAAGATCGCGCTAGGAGCCAGGATCAGCTGGTGGACAACAGCCCTAATAACGCTGGTTCCATACGCGATGTCCTTGAGGACTATCATGCAAAGAACCATCGTCCTCGCCCACCCAACCCAGATAGACTCAAGCATCTGTGTCAACAGGCAGCAGATGAATTATCTGCTAACAAAGCGGACCAGGTCGTAGACTCATCCAAGAAGTCAGCTAACAAAGTAGCATCTCGAACCATCAGGTTTTATCCCTACTCCTGGAAAGATGTCTTGGAGGCTTCGAAGAAGAAGTCATGACTAGGGTTGGTCATGGACGGCACCGTTTCGAGCCGCAAGACTTTTATCGAGAGGACAGGTATTGAATATCTCACGGAAACACTTGACAATTTTGCAGCGGATGATATCAGCGTCGAGGACGGCTACTGGGATAGATATAAACGTGACATGGCAATTATCGTACGTAAACAGAGTCTCTCATAGTCGATACTAATTGTTTTTGTTTGTTAGTTATGGGATGACCGAGCTACAATGCGGTCCGAGATGAAAAAAGCTGCACGGCCCCTTGCTGCCACCAAGTTTGGCATCCTACCATCGGACATCGACAACGACAACGAGTTTGAGGGCCATGTCAGTCGACGAGTCACAGAGTTATTGGATGGCGGTTATTTCTTGCAGAACGGTGTTGACGAACAGGTGAGTTTCTAACGAGATGCAATTAAATGTGCTGATTATCCTCACTAGGGGAGGACCAACAACCTCGCCCATGACGCACTCGGCGAGTTGTGTACTACCGTTTTCTACAAGGGCGACAACGCACTCGTGAAGGTCTTCCCAGATGTATTTGCTGAGGCTGTTCCCGAGGGTGCCGTGGCACTTGCAGCAACCGCAGTAAGTGTTAATCCCCTCATCTTTTTATTCAGCGCTCACTTCCACTAGCTTGCTGCAGCCATCGACGAGTACAAGACTGGGGTCTATCTGCCGACAAAATTCGCTGCTGATTTATATCATCCTATCTACGATAACGTTGTCGAACTCTACAAGACAGTGCGCCTTGACCATTATCACTCAAAGAAATGCCAAGCGGTTCATAGGAAGTGGGCATGCTCTGTTGTAAACTCAAGTCTGCTGTACCTCCACTGTGTTGCTCTGTTGTACTCTGTACCTCATACATTCAGCCTCAGTGGCACTTCTGTACCATTCTGTACAAGCTTTCATGTACTTGGTACAGCCCTGTATAGGCTGTATATGTGCTCTGTACAGCCCTGCATAGGCTGTATATGTGCTCTGTACAGATCTGTACAATTATGTACAGGCTATCTATGTAATTTGTACAGAGCTGTACAGAGAGAACCCCTTCTGTGGGCTCTTGTGACTCTGTCCAGAGTTGTCCAGAGTTGTCTAGTATATCCCTAGTTTGCTGATGAATGTCTCCATTTCAAATCCGGATGAAGATCCAGGTTTGCGTTTATGGGGGCTGGTTCACCCGTGACAACCTCACCCAACTCCTCCGAAGGGCTGAATTCTCCAAGATTGCTGGTGGAGAGATTGAGAGCTGGCCAGTCAATGTTGCCACTATTGAGACCCGCGATGTCAAGGTCATGACAGAACTTTCATGTATTGATCCCACTACCTCTTCAAACAATGCTCCAGCGCCCTCCACCTGTTTCGCACCACCCATAGACTTACCTGATGACTCCAAAGACCTCGTGACTGATGTCATAGGGGTTCATGTGTCTTCATTTTCAGATACTGTCAAATGGTCCAGTGGGTTCACCACTATCCTCACACATCATTCATATACATCATCATGATTGGTCCTCTAGACCAGATGAGCTACGTGATCTCATTGCGAAAACTCTGTGTGAAGAAAAATGCATCGTGATTCGGGGAGCTGAAAAATCGAGGTTTCTCGCGGTTTATGCGTGTTGCTATACATGGTCAGTATTTTTAGGTACATCTCCCACATCAATCTTACACGGTCCAACAGACATTGAAGTGCGCACCAGGGACTTTACATACCCCCAAGTTGAGGGAACAATAAAAGAGTTCATTCTCAACTTGGACGACCCGAATAAGATGCAGTTCATCCTCGACATTCCATACACAGGAATGGGCATCCCAGAACACTTGCAGTGAGTAAATGTCCGGCGTCCTAAACCATTCCTTCAACCCTCGATTTCCTTAGACTACTTGATCATGGCATTGTTCATGGGTGGAATCAAACCATAGCTGAGTATCCCATTGTCGATCCAGTCGATCCCGATAATTTTCTTGTCAATGGGTGGGCTTTGGCCCATCTCAGCCTGCCGTCCTGACGAATTTTCACCATGACTTAGACGGAGGCATGACTTTCGTTCAGTCAGTACTGGGAGAAAAAATGTGGATTCCGGCTTTTCCAAAAAATCCAAAAATTTCGCAGACCAAATTCTTAGAACATTCTCTAGAGTCGCTGATGGCTTCTTAGTGGTGGGGGTCAATGTGATCTGCAGATCGGGGATGGTGAATATTTCGTTAGATGAGATGCGACCAGGTATGATGTTGATCATCAATAGAGATCGCTTGTACTGGATGCTACAAATTGCGCTCGAGAGTGCAGATGTGATCTCGCTAGTTGTTTGGTCATGAATTGGGTGCGGAGAGTATATGACGAGGGTCATCGTTCATGGAAAATATGTCATCCTATATGATGTTCAAGTTGTTAGTTATTCGTACATTTACAAACAATGTAACTAACTTTGCAAGACAGTACAGAAAATCCCCTTTGTTGCTGATTGCATCCAGCACCATTGCAAACTCGTGGTAAGGGACATTATAAAAACATATTGGCTCTAGTTGTACTTGCTGGAGAGCATCAAGGATGACCTCGTTGGAGTGGTCTGGTTGATGGTTCAAATATTATTGTTGTATATGGCGGCTACCAACAAACCTGATGGCATGAAGACACTCTTCAAACCCTCCAGCACAATTTGGATGGCTTGAACTTCGACTTCAAAGTCGTTGGCCGGGGCTGAAAATCACAATTAAATATCTAATATAACTGTGACAATCAGCCACGGTCAGCATACCTGATTGTGCGATAATGTCTGTAGATCCGCTAAGCGATGGAGCCTGTGGAGAAGGACCTTGCGCTTTGACTCTGGATTTTGGTTTGGTGCCATTGGTTTTCAACCAAGCGCTTGTTGGGGATTCAGATGGCATCGTCTTTGTATCGTTGTCGGCCTTCGCGTCTGTTTTTCTTGCACTTGCATGTGTATAGTAGAATGATGGACTGGTAGATGTCCCAAAAATTGTTGCCATCTCACAAGTACAATGGATACGTGTCAAGACAACAGCACAGGCAGTGACAGCCTAAGTTGAGCGTTTGGTGAGTGTAGTGCTCTCACGATCTGACAGCGCAAAATTTTGGATTCCATAGGTCATCACATCGGCAAAATTACAGCAGAAGAAATATCATCACATACCGTCAAGACCACTCTTTGGCCATTTGCAGGATTTGTCTGCATTGACTATGACTGAATCGTACCTGCCATATGGCCAGTCCTTTGAAGGCGGTTCAGCAAGTAGCGCTTGTGAGGGCTCGAGTCGTTCTGTGCTGTGAAAATTTCTGGATTGCATTCACATCTTGCACCAGATCTGGATCCGTTTGAACGGGAGGGGACAATCGGCATGAGCTCGGCGCCTGCCACCAACGGGGAAGACATCATGTATTGAAGCACAGTCCAAATGATCAGAAATTGCTGGACAAAGGTCAGGGAGCAAGAAATGATGGGCAGCTGTGTCAACAGTCATTTTTGTGAGGCTGGGGTTATAGCCAAGACTGTAAGCTGCGATAGGAGTCGAGAACGTGCGATAAGGACGGGGCGCCTGAGGATGCATACCATCAAGGAGTTCACATGCATATGCAAATAGTCTTTGACAGAACACCGGACCATCCTGCTATCAATATCTTCATCGTCGCTGTCGTCGCCAATATTAGTGCAATCTTCCAGCTCACGAAGTTGAAGCACAAGGTCGAAGCAATCTACTTTATCATGACGATCCAGGTAGCGGCAAACTTGTGCATCGTGGTCATGGTTGTTTCCAGCTCTTGCAGGCTCCTTCACGACAGTGATATGTGCGCGCTCAGTTGGATCTGCAGACCACTGCACGATGGCACCGTGTGAACGAATACTCGGTACCACCCCTTGTAGCAATTCGAGTTTCGGAATTGTCCAAGGTTTAATTCCACCGCCCTTCCCTTGCCGGGCACCGGCATCAATAATAGTTTGCTTGTGCCGATGGAAGAGTCAAAGAGATCCATCTAACTCCAATAATTTTTCGTCCGTGAACCACGGAGCTTGAGCAAGATATCTAAATTCAACGAGGGCCCGGATGGCGGTTGTGAATTCAGCAGGGGCAGCATCAGCAATGACACCAATGATATAGCGCTGGACATTGCGATGGTCTCGTCCCAAGGTTTGCTTCAGATTAGAGATGCCTTCCCCAAAAGCACAGTACCCGATGCACATTTGGAGTAGTGCGAAACGAAAGTCGATTTCCTTGGTGCCAACGACTTTTATGCACCACCTGAGGTCGTGATCCCAGAACATCTTGTGTAGGTGATGGAGAAGCTCGGGTGTCAGGAATGAGGAAGGGTCTGTGGTGAGCCAAGCTGACCAGAACGGTGTAACGACACCATTTAGGAAATATTGCTTGCACTCTCCAAAGAACGCCATGAGATCAGAAGGCGAGACGAAACCAGCAACGGCTCTGATATTGGCAAGTGTAGATGATCCTTTACGAAGGGGGTGTCGAGTCGGGTCACCGAAGTTGACACGTGTGGCCATAGTGACAGGCGATGCATTCATCATAATGCATGCGATTACGAGCTCCTCGGGAGTATCGGCTACATATGCGACAAGGGGCGTGAAGCAATATCTACTAAACCCTGCTGGGTCACTCATCATGACACCCAGGCGTGCGGCTTGCTTCAGTGGCTCGACGACAATGCCAATGCATTGATGGAGTAGCCGGTCCGCCAGAACGCCGCGCATGCGTTGATTCCCATGGATGAACTTCGCAATGGGGAGCAGAGCGATGGGGATATATGCTGCCAGGGATCCTTTGCCACGTATCTCAGAGTTGATATTTGCAAGAGAGATGAGGAGTGGATGAGCATAGCGATTGCCAGAGAGATTGCTGACCTTAGTCTTGTCTGAGGACAAGACTACGCCAAGAAGAGTCGCACCATCAGGGAGGCGTTCCTGCGTTCTTGGTTAGCAACACTAAGCAAGTGAATTGAGAGGCAAACTTACCTGAAGTTCCCAAGCACAATCACCGGTCATGAAACCGTGGTAAATACGAACTGCACGTTCAGCGGACTCGTAGACTTTCCGTGGGATGAAATTGAAGCTGTCGACTAACAAGGGGTGACTAAGAAGCGACTGTAGGCACTCGATGGCATCGTGGTAAAATATATGGAGGGTCTTTGTTGTTGGGAATTCAGTAGTGACGATTTGGTGCTTCCATCGAGGAGGAGGTGGTAGCATTTCCGCACGTCCTTGGAGCTATCTTGAAGAGCGAAACGAGAGGGGTAATTTTCTGGTCTAAAAACATGAGTTCAGACATACCTTCAGTAGAAAGAAAATGGACTTACAAATTCAAGATGAAGATATTGGTCAATATCCGCCATGCTGAGCTCTGACCGAAGAAGAAATGCTGCCATCTCCCAGTCTGGTTTGCTAGTGAAAGGGAAGTAGGGATTGTCCACCCTCTCCGCAGCATACTCATCAGAGTTGAAAGTCTTCATAAATGTCATTCCAACACCATATCTCTTTGCTGCACCATCATAAACCTCTTCATTTCCCCCAAAATCTGCCTCTACACCAGCATTCCCATCTTCACACACGCCCACATCCATGTCCACGTTATTGTAGATGGCTGCATCTTCGTTGAAAGCCAATTCGTCTTGGGTAGTTTGGTACCAGTAGAATTTGGAAGTCATGATGGTGGGCCCGAGATTCGAACCAGGTTGTCACTCCAACTGTAGCATCGTGATATAGGCTGATTCAAGTGCTGTAGCACACCTCGACCGTCCTTGAAATGTTTGCCGCAGGATGGGCACCGCATGTCCTGGACACGAAGTTCAGTCAGTTTCCAGCAGTAAGTACTAACGGAAATTTCCAGAGCAACCTTCAAAATAAACCACAATGTACCCAGAGCGACTTTAGCAGCAAGGTTCTGCAGCTTCAAGTCCCACTTGCCTGAGATCTCATCCTCCTTATGGTGTGTTCTTGTTCTTGACTAAAATACCGTTGGATTTTGCTCATAGACTCTAAATGTGAATCAGGCAACTCTGAATGTTCGGTTCCATCACCTGATAAGGTGAGTCATCTATTTAGGTTACGAGGCGCTGATACAGACTTTCAGCAGAACTTGAATGCAGAAATTACTTCACCAGAGAGCGCTGAGGAAGCAACCTACTTACTTCAGATGGCAAGAGCTGATTTGGAGGTTTGACGTGTCGAACAAGACCTTGCCGAGCAACTTCTCCACCAGCTTCATATACGCACGCATTATTGGCGACTTCAACTTCAAAAAGCAAGAAAAAAATTCGGTGATGCAGAAATGCATGTAGGACGCACACGCGCTCTCGTGACGAGGAGCAGCTTGACGTGCTCAGAGCGAACACTTTGGCGTTCAAAATCTGCTTTAATTTCTGGTCGTGGTATGTCCTTCATTTGTTTACCAAGTGTATGTAGCGCCAATTTAAATATTTTTCAAGTGCTTCAGCTCAAAGACTCGTTTTTGTAGAATATCTAAGAATTTTGTAGTACTGTCTATGTAATCATGTTCCTAGTCAATGCACATTTTCCAAGACTTCGTTTGGTGCAATAAGACTTTGTGTCGTTAATGTACTTATTTATTTATTTTGTTTTTCAAACAAAAAAAAAGGCAGAACTTTCTGTGGGTCTCTGTGAGTCTGTGAGTCTGTGTGGTGTAACACTGTTCACGCTGTGTGGCTCTGTACCGGTTGTAATACTGTGTGAGTCTGTGCGGTGTAACACTGTGCACACTGTGTAGCTCTGTGCCGGTTGTAGTGCTGTGAGAATCTTGTATCCAAAACTAGTAGTTTGCTGATGTTTGGAATATCTGTGGGGGAAGCTCGAGCCGGCTGACAGGAGGAAAATACTTTGTTTGTTGGAGAAAGGTCTATGTTGCTACCATCTCAGCAATCATATTGTCTACCGACCATGTGTGTTTGAATGGTCCACTGCATATGTTGTTGCCATGCTTACAGAAAACATCATGCATCCATTGGGGCCTTACTGTCATGTATATCAAATCAATGTATATTAATACTCAAGGAAGACAATCAATGAAATACATATGGTCATAACCCCTTTATAAATCTTCTTACTCAAGAAGTGCTCCCACATTCGCTTGATTTCTTTTCTGTTTTTAAATTCATTTATGTTCATTGAGAGGTGCCTCTATGTAGGACAATATGTTCTAATCTTAAGGACTCGCTTGATCGTCTTTAGCACTGTGGCCTGCCTGTATGCTGTAAATGAATTGTTCTCCAAGGCAAGAGCAAAATAGTAGTTAATATACGCCAATCTCCATTTCTTTGAAGTACTCAATGGATCAGTGTGGGCCTTACAATGGAAAGCACTGATAATAGATGCAAGATAATGTGTGGTGGATAGGTTAAATGTGATATATCTTCATCGGCTGCGTCAGGTTTCAGAAGCATTCTGAGCTCCATGCAAAATAGCGGACCTATGGCCATCTTTTGTCTTGGCCATTTCAGTGGTAGCAAATGCTACTTCCTAACTTAAAGGTCAAACTCCAGTTGTTGATTTTTTGTCTGGTGATTTGTATCACGCCATTGGCAATTGGAAAGTGGCATCAGGAATTTCTGCTTGAGGCATCCAATGCCTCAGCCAAATCACGACATCTCTACACTCTCTGTATAGGCTGGTGATGCAGAACCCTTACAGGACAATGCTCCATATAGAAAAGATAACTTTTGCTGATGATGTAGGACACCTGCAGGTTCATGCCTCATATAGATAATGATATTTCTATGCTACTTATTTTAGTCACCATTTATATTATCCCATATGAGATATATTTTTCATTACATGAGTGAGGTTGGCTAGACCTACTCCTGTATGGAATCTCATTTTATATTAAAGCATTTAGGACAGCCTGCATAAATATTGAGGTCTACCTACACTCCTTATCTCATATGGGATAATATAAATGCTAACTGAATAAAAAATACAGTCTACCTACACTCCTTACAGGTGACTAGGGAAGCTGGCTTAGTGAGCCAATATGTTATCAATAGGCCGGCTGGCCATGGCCTACATACTGCACAGACTGGCTGGCCCAATGGGCCAATATGATATCAGTAGCCCAGCTGCCCATGTCCTACATACTGCATATACTGGGTGGCCCAATGGCCCAAAAAGTGTTCAGTAGGGTGGCCGCCCCTGCTCTATATACAGCATAGGGCAGCTGGCCCACTAGGCCAATATAATACCAGTAGGTCGGCCGACCATGGCCTACATGCTGCACAGACTGCCTGGCCAATAAGCCAATAAGGTATTAGTGGGTTGGTCATTCCATCTATGCATACTGCTAAAGTATTGTTAGTGCTAACATCAATGTTACTCAAAAAGACATGAAAATTCAAGTGTATATGACATCAAACTGCAAAAGGGGAATTTTAAGGTATTGTGCTAATAATGATGTCTTAGTTTTTAAACTCCTTTGAAGCTACTCTGTCTCAGGCAGAGCGATGGGGAGGATCAGGAAGAGCAGATGTCTTCACCTTTTTCATGACTGAATCATCCACATCTGTTGCTGGGTGTTTACCCTTTCCTTCTCCTCCAGTGTTAGTACTGCTTGCCTTCTTTGATGTGGGAGCCCTCTGATCAGTCATCTAAGATGCCTCAGCAACCCTCTTCTCCTCAGAAACCTGCACCTCTTCAGCCACTCTCTTTTCCTCTGCCACCTGTGCCTGCTCTGCTTTCCCCCTCTCTTTTACCTGCCTTTTGTTATCCAGATGCCTCATGTGAACTTCTTCCCCCACTGTCATCTGCTTCTCATTACCATCTGGCAGCATTGTGTTCACCTTCACCTGGATTCTGGTAATGGCCTCTTCAACCTTGTCTCCCACCTTGATGCCAAGGATGGAGTCGCCCAAATATTGAGGCATATCATCTCCAGCCTCATCTGTTTCATACTCCTGAGCGCAGCAACACTTATGAAGGAGGAGTCCAAAGCCCAGGACAACAATAATACCCAAAACACGAGATTTGATGACATAGTTGCCTAGTTCCTCCAAAGCCACAAAGGAAGCCTGAATATCATTGTGTATATTTTGAGGTAGATATGCCTCAGACCACATCCAAGATGCCCAGACAGACAGATGTTGCTTTCTAGCCATGCCCTTAGAATCAGGAGTTTGCTTTCAACAAAGAGTCAAATTTAATGCTATATCACAAATGTAGTGAATTTTTTTGAACTGTGGCCAATAGACGATGGTATGTTGGGGGGATAGAGGGGGATTGAAGATAACTGACTGTGTCACCACCCATATGGAATTTTGGGCAGTAATTGGAAAGAGATGAGGTGTGGCTTTCCAAGTCTTCATCTTTGTCAGAAGAACCATTGGCTTGGGGGGCATTCTTCAGTACCCCATCCTCGTCTGATGATACTTCAACATATTGTTGGTTCTTCCTTGATTTTTTTCCTACATCCCCCTTCTTAGCCAGTCAATCATAGAAGTCGCCTTCCTTATACACAACAAACTGGACAATTAGTTCATTACAGTACGGTTAGCATGATATTTCCAGAGTGAAAAAATCATAGTGATGGCTTCCTTCTGTAGGTGAGAAGGATCCTTGATGATGACATTCTGAGGGGTACAGTCCATGTCAAGGTAATGGTCTGGATCTTGGGTAATACGACCCCAGTGGACTGCAGCCCTAGGGTTTGTTTGAGATGACCATTGTTGAATGTAAGCTGTCAGAAAAACACAGTACTTCAAAAATAGAAATGAATTACCATGAGCCTTTTGAAATACCTTTTGTATGACCTTCTGCTGGTTCTTGAGCATGAGTGATTCAAAGCCTGTTGGTAGGCAAGGATTGCCCTCATCATCTACCTCCACTGTTAAATCAGGCAACTTCTCATCTTCCTCATCAGATTGGTCCTCAGGGTCCAAGCCTGTTGCTAGATCATTAGCAATTAAATAAATTACTGTATCCAAGACTTACGATACTCAGCTTCATTCAGCCAGTCAGCAAGTCAGTCTTGCGACTCTCCAGCCCATTTCTTGATGTCTTTGTCCCATTCACCCCATTCATGTAATCAATATCATCTAAACATTTGTTAGTTTAAATTTGCACTACTTGTTTGCACGTTGGTGTCCAACTCTAAATTTCACTGCCCCTGCCGCCTAGCGCCGACACAGCTGACATGGCCCTGACCCAACCTCACTGTAATACTCTGATGACATCGTCAATACGTAGTCAGTCAGTGTGAATATGACCTTACATTTTGCACAAATATGACAGGTACATCGGATCCACTCGGGTCCACTGAACCCCTAAACATCAGATCCACTTCACAGTTCATCTCTGTCTCCTGTGATCCGCCTGACAGTTCATTTCTGGTCCTGCTTCTATTCTGTTACCCCATTTGTATAGTCCCTTTGTCCTAACCCCTATATGCCCAGATCTGCTTGACAGTTAATATCTGACTTCATTCTCGATCATATCTCCTATGCCCGGATCCATTCAATACTTCATCTCCATCTCCATTCTCAATTGTTCCTGTATTATTTTCTTTGCGCCTGTCAGTTTAACCTTTGCGTATGTTCCTCTCATTGACCCGGATCTCCACTGACTGCATTCCCGTTGCACATGTCCCTAGTATATAATACATTGTAAATTCATAGTAGTTTCCTCAGTTCAAATATCACCTTAGATCACACTTATTGCTGTTTCCTAGGATCCATATCCATTTCCATGGGCCTGAGTCCACTTCCCTGTCCAAACTCTGAGTCCTCGGATTGATTCCTTGTGATATATCTCCACCTCTACCTTAGGGTAGTCTACCTCTGTCAGTTTCTACTCTAGACATTGTCTAGTGTAGTCTTACCTCTAGCTTCCGCCTTCTTGGATTCCTGTCTTCCTGTCTTTCTGTCCTTACACCTGTCTGTGCTGTCCGCTGTTTCCGCCGGACTAAAGCCCCTATTTTTTGGTGGACTCATCTTCTATTTTCCGCCAGAAAAATCCTCTCCTGTCCAGCGGACTAATCTCCTGTTTTCCACCCACCTTTCCCTCTGTAGTTTTGTTGGACTAATCCCCTATTTTCCAGCAGACTAATCCTCAGTTTTCCACCAGCCTTTCCCTCTGCAGTGCTGTCGGATCCATCACCTATTTCCTGCCAGACTAATCCCCCATTTTCTGCCAGACCAACCCTCCATTTTCCACTAGACTTTCCCTTTAAAACCCACCGGGATTTACTGTATTCCACTGCTGGGCTTTGTTTCTAGCCTTCGGAAATTAAGGGCATGTACTTGGGTAAGGGGCGCAGTGCACAAGCTGAAGCCAAGCCCTTCGGATCCACCCCTGGAGCACGGTCTTAACACCAACCCACCATGGGCCCACATTACTATGTACGCCTTGATTATGGGAAATATTGATGAAGGTGGAAGGTAACATTGGCCGGGGATCATGTGGACCGGTGGGGGAATATTTCAGGCACTTGGGGTGCTGACACAGCCAACATTCTGCCACATTTTAAATATTTCATGGTCAAGATACCATTTTCTTGCTTTTTACCCCTCTTACTTGTGCACTAAGAAATATTGATGAATATGAGAGGTAACATTAGCCCCAGATTGTGTGTCCCAGTCGGTGAATATGCCAGGCACCCAGGGCACTGACACCACCGACATTCTGCCGCACTTTACAGATTTCATAGTCAAGATACCATTTTCTTGCTTTTTACCCCTCGAACTCGTGCACTGAGGAATATTCATGAATATGAAAGGTAACATTAGCCCGGTATCATGTGCCCCAGTCGGGGATTATGTAAGGCCCTTGGGGTGCCGATACCGGCGACATTCTGCTGCATTTTACAGATTTCATGGTCAAAATACCATTTTCTTGCTTTTTACCCCTCTGGCTCGTCCACCGGGAAATATTGATGAAGGTGGAAGGTCGGTGGTGGTTCTTTCCTATCATCCTAATTTTATCTGTGGACTACAAAGAACAGTGAGTAATATCACACTTCAATGTCTATCTGAATTGCTAATGAATTGTATCGTTAACTATGTAAGATGTGTTATGTCACTAATCCAAGGCATCAAATGCCTTTGGCCATGTCCGGTCTATCTTGTTCCGATGTATACAGGAGGAGGAGGAGGAGGAGGAGCGGAGGACATCTAGACAAGAAGGGTCGATGGTGTATGACATGGTAGCGCAGACTAGCTGCAGGGATCCGGACTTTGTGTCGACAGGTTAGGGGAAGCAGGGCAGATCCTGCTGAGGGGTATGTCCAGTGGAGACTGGGATGCGGAGTTATCCTGCCAAGGGGTAGGGATAGGGTTAAGGTATAGCTTGGCTACGTTTCGGAGGTCCGGACATTGTTTGTCGGGAGAGATGGGATATGATTCAGGGGCTCAGTGTACAGTATATGACAGAAACACTCCAAGGTGTCATCCATCGTGTCAAGGCTCTGCGAGCTGATGATGTTGCAATGAGCGATGTAGATGAAGTCAAGTAATGCTTGCAAAGCCTGTACCATTTCTGTGCGGACGTGACCCTCAATAGCAGGTATGTAGACCTGTGCAGTAAACACACATTAGAAATATTAGTACTAGTAGTACTGTTGCTATGAAAAATAATAGAATATCAGTACAGACCTTCATAAGTGCTTTTGAGTCATCACCAGTCCACTGTTTGAACCCTCTACCCTCTGGAAATCATCGAAGGCCTGCAAACACTGGAGCTAGAGCAATGCTAGTAGTATTATACATGTTCAGCAGCAGTAACCAAGTGAATTTGAAGATAAACTTACCGACGGTCAATGTCGTCTAGTATCTTGTTCGCGTTGGCTTCCTTCAATCTAGCGCCTTCACCACCACTTCTGATTTCTCATCAGCGCCTTTCCTACAAGGCGCCGGGATCACAGTCTCCCCTGATGCGCGCACCCTGCAAGACACAGGGATCACAGTTTCCCCTGATCCGCGCAACCTGGAAGACACCGGCACCACAGTCTCCCCAACCGCACAGGACACCAGCACCACAGTTTCCCCATCTCCCTCTGACCACACCAACAACTATGTTGGGACCTTAACTGTCCCCAACTTGCCCTCCATTGTAGCGGCATACACCAAAACCATTGAAGACTCCATCACGCCTCATAGCGCAGAGACCAAACACATGCCCAGGACTTTGGGTAGCTATGATAACTCATTCACGCCTACTCACACTTCATGATTACTGCATGTCATCATTGCATTGCACAGCTCTATCATTATCCCTTGCAGCTGCATCTACTAAGCTACATTTCTCCCATCATTACTGCATAGTGCTGCATGTTACTGCTTACACTGCTTGACATTGTTTGCACTGCTTGTGAGTCATGGTTGGCTATGCCTAGTCATCATGAGTCATAGTTTGTCATGGTTATTGCCTCAATTTATCATCTCCATTCCCTATGATACTACTTTCCTATGCTTTCTGACTCATTCTGTTCTATTTTTTTAGTCCTGCAGTCTGATGAGGATTCCAAAAGCAACAATGATATGGAGGTCAGTCAGCATATGCAAACACTAGTTCTGTTTTTCAAAATTGATCAACCTCATTCCAGGATAAGTTGCCAATCACATAGGAAAAAAAGGCAAAGACACCTGGAATAGTGAGTATGCTAGTGTCTACTGCCATGATAACACTTGCCTAAGGAAGAAAAAGTGTACATAGATTAAAAAGTACATGGTGATAGTGGGTTACATACCAGAGTGCTGTGCTTTATGTTATCGTTATTGAAGTGGTCTAGGAACTTTCTGATATTAAGCAGATTGACAATACTGTCAACATGAAGTTTTTCAATGTATTCCAATACTAGTACTGGAACACCAAAACATAGCAGCTGTTGCCAGCAAAGATATAAACCGGATATTTTGTTTTTGTTCACTTCCTTCAATTGAATGGGTCCACATCAAACAAGCTTTAGGCAAACTATAGTAGTTGAGAAACTGGTGATAGCCTTCCCTGCAAATTAAACATAAATTTTTGGAGTGTTGATCCTGCAACTTACATAGAACATTCCATATCCTTCCTATTAGTGTGGATGAGTCATGGTTGATTTTTTGATGAAAGATGCAATTGATGTAAATGCACTGAGCAGCAGTGGTGTTATAGTGAAGGACTCCAGGAGATTCAATATGAATGGGCAAAGACGAAGGTGAAGGTTTTCATTTCGGAGAAAAGAAGAATATTTTCCTAGAATGAGCATCTTTGCTATCTATGACATTCTGGTAGGGACGGTGTATGAACCGTTTGAATAGGGAATTAAAGGCAGATTGCACACTTTGTTCCTTTAAGGATCCATTAGAGTTAAGAAGGTTTTCTACGCAATTCTGTTTAGAAAAAGGAGAAGGTTATACAATGTTATAAGATGTACCAAAGCTAATAAGGCGAGCGATCACTTTCTCTATTTAGTTGGTGCTCCAAAACAATGAGGCTGCAGTTGATTGTTCTAGAGTCAACCCCTCTATCATTTGTGCTTTGTCTCAGCCATTGGTTGACAATTAATGTGCTTTTTACCTGCTAGAAAACATTCTAAGTGAGCTTGTAGCTCAGTGGCATCAGAGGATTGCATACTATAATGCCTTAGGAAGAAATTAATGTGCTTCCTGCCAAAAACTCGTGTCAGTATCTCAGAAGTTCTGTTCTACCTTATCATCTGGTTCTCACCAAAACTGTACCTCTAGCTCCAACCCTGACACAATCATGGAATGATAAATTTATTCAGAATGCATTCATCAGGGAATAGAACCTACACTTGTGGTTCCACTCTCTCACAAAGGCACACTCCTGGAATAGAAGGTCAGCATTGAACTCCTCAAACCAAGCAATGATGCGGGCATCTGGGACCACGCAATAGTATTCATAGTAGTCTTTGTCTTTTTTTGTTGCAGGCTCGACGACCATATACCATGTGTCTTCCTATAATCGCCTGTGAGCTGTGTCTATCCAGTTCTGAAGATTGTTCAATTGATTGGAGATATATTTTTTATATTGCTTCCTGTATATGTTTTCTGTCTCACTCAGACTGTGAGATACGGCAAAACAAAATTTTTACTCATGGCGAATATTTACTTACCATTGAGACATTGAAATAATACAATACCCCTGAGGGATGTACAATTCCTTCCCAGACGCTGTAGCTTTGATTCTTGTGTAAATCATGAGACCATGTATTCAGTTTGGTTCAGTAAGAAAAGAAGTAACTCATCCCACCTAAAGTCATCCACTTGCTTGCACTTGATGGAGTAGTTGGCACTAAGTGCAGAATCACTAGTAGGTATCATGAAGAAAAATATTATGGTGACTTGGACAGGCCCAGGTAGGAGTCCCAGTCAGGCTGGCACCGCGAATGTGCCGCAGTCAATTTGCACCACATTATAGTGACAAGTACAATGATTCCAGGAGGAAGAGAAGAAAGGGCAACACCATCTCCATACAACTCAGATTCTGGCAGAGGCTAAACTTAGCTAAGCCCTACTCCATGTTGGAGGCACCAACAAGGACTTTGCTGCTGGACTGCAGATGATTCACCAGCACTACAACTGTCATTTAATAAACAGACTATGATGCAAATAAAGAATAGCCACAGCTCAATCAGGCTCCTCAATCACTACACAAAAAATGCAATGTCCATTGGAATCAAGAGGTCATACATCATCACAAACTCTCTCATGGAGATGTAAGCAGGCCAATATGAGAACTTTATCTGATATACTGATGAGGCAAAATATCCTGGTACTGAGATGATTCTGTTCAATAGCAATTACAAATGGACATACATGACCAACAGTTCCACAACTATTATCAGTCCTTAAAGGGGGCAACAAGGAGTGTGGAGGCCCATGATCAGGATGAGGCAAAAGATCATGTAAAAGAGATGTTTTGGACCCTGGCTTAGTATGGTGAGTTGGTTGGAGACATTATCATATGTGTATAAGGAACTTTTATTATAAAATTGAGGCGCTTCTATAGATAAAAATGTCGGATCAACACTTTGCGGATCAATTTTAAGGCATGTACCTTGTCAATTCAAGGCAAGTCTGGAATGTAAGATCTATATTAATTATAGATACTTGTGCAAATCAATTCTAAGGCACGTACTGTTTAAATTTAAGGCGAGTCTCGACTCTAATATTAATTATAAACACTTGTGCAGATCAATTCTGAGGTATGTAAGTACATAGTATTCATTGAACAACTGACACACACATTTGCACAGGCTCAATGGCGACAGTTTGAGGAGAGAATAATCATCATAACAGTGTAAGTGATGGTAAGTTGGTCTTGATGTAACCTAGCATGTTGACAAGTGTTCAGTGCATGTGGGAGGATGGGCACAAGATTTCCAGGGGGAATGAGTTCAGAGTTGCCAAAGGATTGGCGCCACTTGTTCACCAGCCCATTTTGTGATGGCACCGGGGTCTACTAATGTTGCTGGCAGAGAAGAGGGGGCAAGAATTAAGGAGAGAGTAGAACAAACCCATCGAGATAGAAAGGGTGCTGGGGATTAATGATATGTAAGTTGGGGATGCATAGATATCAGATGCACAGGAGAAAGATCAATTAACCTATATATCCACTCATAATTTTGTGACAGGGGAGACAAGCATCAGCACTCACCCACAAATAAATTGAAGCTAGGAATCAGAATATGCATAAGCCACTTAGAAGAGTACTGAGGACACCAGACCTTACATAGATCATTCTTGTAGTGCCCCAAATCTTACGTAGTTCCACCCGCAAAGGCTGGACCCATCTGCACAAATGATGTTCAACACAATCATCGACCCAAGCTGACAAAATAGTGTGGTGGTGGTTGAGGATGAAGGAGAAAGCAATTGATATCTGTACATGACACAGGTGAGCCCATGAACTGATGTCAGCATATGCATGCACTAACTAAGAAGCCAGTTCTTTTTGTGACATTCAGGCTAATGCTGGGCCTCTTAGAGTTTCTTGTCTCGCCCATCATCTTTTCCACAGTGGAACACGCTAGCCTTAGATACCTAACAAAGGACTGCCAGATTATGGACCTCAAAAACAAAAAGGAGCTCTGATTAGTTCTCGCTGTATTGTATAAAGAGTTTCTGCCTGAGTTAATGGCAGAAAGCAATGCACTGCTGAAAGGTTTGCTCAAAGGCCTCATAATAAAGGTCCTGGACCTAGAATTCTCAAAGAACATGTTAAATCCCATGAGTCTATATGGTGCAGTGGAAAACAAAGAGGTCTGTATGTATCAGTTGGCCTTGCAGGCCTATTATTATAATCTTAAGGCTGCCATAGAGAAGGTTAGCAAAGCCGAATTGCTGATATATATCAAAAACACTGTTCAGAGATAGATAAACTGGAAGCTTCAGAAGTCTGATAAAGCAGTGTCTGCAGCAGCTAAGACTCTCCAGTATCGAAAAGCTTCTGCAGATGCTGGTACTAAACAGCTCAGTATGAATCACTTAGAAAAGGCTATTTTTAAGGAAGAAGGTGATATACTGACTGATTCAGAGGATTCAGCAGGGTAAGTTGTTTATGATTTTATCTATTAATAGCATACTCACTAGTACGGTCCAAGAAAAGAGTATATTTGTCATTTCCCTGATACTCACAAATCTAATGAACATTCTACTCCACACATTTTAGAATCTCTCTAAAGAGAGATGACTCACTTAGTCAACTCTGCCAGCAGAGGTAAGACTATTATCCTCTGTTTGTAAATTTATTATTCTAACTATTGTTAGTAACCTTTAACAATTTTGATTTTGGTAAAAAATTGCAAATCAAAGACTACAGACATCCTTAAAGATGTCAAAGTTTGGGATAATAATCATCTCCACATTGCAGTTAGTGCAGATGACATTGAGGTTGTGGCATATTTTACAAATGTAATCAAATCTGCTACACAGGTAAGTGTTGTTTTTTTGCAGTTTTCAATGGTAGCTCATGTTATATGATAGAAGAGGATTGTTCAAGATCTTCATGATTTTGCAGCTACTGTTCTCTTATCTGTGCACAAAACCAAAATATCCAAAAACAAACCTGACAGTATCTACAAGAAGATTCCTGGTCAGATACATAGGAAACACCACCCTATGAGAGATTTACATGCCTTAGGTCAAAATGTATATTTAATTTTTTTATGCTAGCATATGGTTTTAATAGTTGACTTTTGGGGCATTAATAAGTTTGGTTCTGGTGTAGACACAGTCAAAAACTTCAATGTAGTGATGAAACTGAAGCTCAAACTGAAGCTTCTCATTCATCGGGTTAATGTTCTGATGAAAACCTTAGACCCTACTCATTATCAAGATGCTCAGAACCTCAAGAAACATTACATAGACATGCATCCTAGCTATGCTTCTCTTGAGGTGCTATAGAATGTTTGGTCCTAACTCTACTGTGATTGCCAGGATCCAATATTCTTCTGGGCTGCATTGTGTATCTTTAGTGGCACCTTCACTAGGGGAAAGCTATCCATGCTTAATTTAGAGCTGCAGGTGTGCATACAGCCTGGTGACATTGTTCTCATCGAAGGCAGGGTTATCCAACACTGTTTTGAAGAGTGGACTTGGGGACGACAGATCTCTATCCTAATTTTCATTTGTACTAGTGTCTGGAAGATAGTGAAAGAGCTTGCTGACTGCCTGTGATCAGATGAAGCTACTGGTGATGATTTATCACTACTAATTTGACAGTACATAGTTCATCATGTAGTATGGTATACTACATCGTAGCGGTGTCATGCACCAAGTCCCCGACTCTACTGTTGCTTAGACCCGAAAATCATTTGAATAATTTTACATTATGATGAATTCTGCACATTAGCCAATCAGTATGCGTCCTCAGACGCCCCAATGTGCACCACCTGTGATTCCCAAGCTGTGTTGCTGACTCATCTGTGACACCACGATCAGTTCACAGCTTCAACATTTTTCCTTTTGGAATTTGAACCAAAGGAAGACCTACCAGTAGGCATGGATAGATAATTAAATCTGTAGAGTGGTGAGCCACCTTCTTTTGTTTCACCTCTGTGGCTTGCGCTTGCACTGCGCTGTTGCCTCAAGCACCCACAACACTTGGTATGGCCCATTCCTGCCCCAAGCTGAGTGAGCGTGCCTCAAGCGCCCCTGCCGGCCATGAGCAAGCGCACAGAGAAGGGGGGCTTACCTTCAACCTCCCACTTACTGATCTTTTTTAAAATCACGCAAGGGCCCCTCAAAACTCCAAGCTTGGCCAGCATTCTCCTTCATCACCTTGACTGACACGGCTTTGCCCTCCCTTCCTCAATGTCCACACACGCACCACACAAATGTATGCCCATTCAAACTCTTTGCATTCCAGAGTTTCTGCGACTTGGTCTTGCCATTAAGTCAGTGTTGAGTGAACAGTAAGCTTCATGAGAATCATAGTGCTGCCCTAACACAATCCCATTCACAGATTCCTGACTTCAGACCTTGCGGACCCTTCCACTACGTGCACTGGGTACTGCACCCAAGGCATGTCCCTAGAGGACGTGATCATCATGCGGCACTGCTCTCATGGCGATGAGGATCGCAACCGAGATCCCAACGTAGAGGAGATCCTTGAGCACTCCACCGATGGCATGGGGACTACAGAACTTGCTTCCTCCACATGCGGCTACACTAAGACAGGGTGAGTTTCTCATTCTCCCTTTGCATTCCTTTGATAAATCACTGCCAGCAGGCAGCTCAAGCAGGAGTTCTGCAACTACCAAGATGCTGCCACCGGCTCCAACAAGAAGCCAAGGGTGCACAGCATGGAAAAAGCTGATCACAGTGCCCTGTCACCGTGTCAAGACTCCCATCTTCCACAGCTGGTGCCCTCCGCTGTTTCTAATGGTTTGGTGTCCAAGTCCATGATTTTCATCACTCCAGGCATGGACAGCATCACAACCCCCCCCCCCCCCCTCCTTAGAGGAGTGCAGCATGTCAGTCTCACTGTCCATCACTGGTCGCACCACCTCAACATGCCGTAAGTCAGTGGGGAAGGTGAAGAGGGATGCAAGGCGACAGAAATTCCAAAGGCAGGACCACCGGAGAAAGGTAGAAGAGATGAATTCTAATGGGGATGTTGATGCACTTTGCTTTAGGGTTTCTACCATAGGCTGGCAAGGGACTAACTATGCGTCAAGCGAGGAAGGCAGGGTACTTAGAAAGGAGTGGTATGAGTATTCTATCCTGTTCTGCTTGACTGAATTTGAAAGAGTTCCCTACCAGAGGTGAGGATGCAATGCTTCCTCACACAACTAGCTGATCATCCACGCCAGGCTCAAAACCTGTGTAAGGGATTCTCAGGGGCGGTTGTGGCTTGTATGAACATTCATTGGGCCACACATTGAGGAACTTCTTCTGCTCTTTCAAGAGGATGCAGCAATGTTTGTAAGCACTGTCAAACAGAACAATGGCAGCTTCAGTGAGAGTGTGATGGAAGATCATGGGAGGGGGCACCGCTGGTTCTCTATATGTGGGCATGACCGAAATTCTAAATCAGTAAGAGCTGCACCTCTGAGATTTCAGCCTTCTGAATTCCTGTTCCTCCAGAAACCCTCTCTCAGTGCATGGCACCTAACTAATCACAAAGCAATTGACCAGCTGTGGACCCTGGCAGGCGCCATGTCTCAGATAAGGTAAGTTTCAGACACATAGCCCATACGCAAAGGCCAAACCTCACTCACACTGCCCAGTTCAATGATGAACACAGTGTTTCAGGAAGAATTCCCCCTTCTTGCAAGAAGATACAGAGCATGTGCTGAAGCTCTAAGAATTGAGCCGCTGTATGGACATTTTTTCAATTTCTGTTTGAACTCTGCAAGAGCTGGGGTGAGGCGAGTACACTGCAGTCCTCATGTGGATTGGAAAAACATTGCAATAGGTATCTGCATCATATTCATATACGGTAAGTCAGTCTCACAGAGCTTGCAAGAGCATGCACCTGAATCAATTCTAGGAAATTTCAATAGCAAAGAGCGCTCTTGGCTGGTCATCTGGGAGGCAGGATTGGTGATTGAGATGCCTGCCGGCATTTTTGTGATGTACTCATCCTCGCTCTTTTTCCACTTTAATGTGGATATGTGTGGTAAGCTGGGAAGATTCCAAAGACTCATGCCTAACATAACTAATTGGCAATCAAAATCTCCAGTTTATGTGTACCAATGGTGCACTTCCTACTGAGGAAAATTCATCTTGCCTGGACGGAGGAGACGGGAGAGGGTCCTGCGTGTGGTTCAACCAGGCCACGATGTTCCAGAGTGCAGAGCTTGGCTTTGCCACTGTCGCAGATGCGCAAAAGGCTGGTGCTCCTTGCACGTCTGATGCTTCCTTGCTAATTCACCAAGGTCATTTGCCAGCACTTTAAGAACCCTGACCCTGGTTATTTGCTTCATAGTACAAGCTTATTGCAAAGCCTCGATCTGGTCTTGCACGTATGTGTCTGTGCCCACCCTCAATCACAATATATGTATTGCTGTCACTGCAGTTGCTAAGTACGTGGTACTTCTAGGAAATGTTTTTCATCGCCAATTCCATCAATTTACCTTGCTCTGACTTATATGGCCTGTTGTCTTCCTTCCTCGCTTCACTTGCCAGGTAACGCACCAGTTTATCCGAGTCTGCATACACTATTGCCACTGACATGTCATTTGATATTGAGCAGATCATACCTGTTCCAATATCAATAAATAGTTCATCTTGTTGGATCGCACTTACTGGCCATCATATCTGGTTTTGAGAACAGGATATCAGACACGTAAAGGACGCTTGCATTCATTCTCGTTGGAAAGTGTCTATTGCTTGCTAGAATTTCAGCACAGGATTCAATGTGAAATCTGGGTTTGTTGTCCCCCACCCGTTCCACTGGCAATATGTCAGTTGTTGAATGCCATACACAAGTTGGCACAATCTTACTGAACAAGAAAGATCCCTGATTGTCGAAGATCTGCATAAACTCAGAGACAGCAGGAACAATCATTCCTCTCTGTGATACAGTAGTTGGGCACGGATGGCTGGGGTGAATGTATATAGGGATCCAACACCATTAAATAAATAAGCACCAGCCTGCGTGCCCTTGTGCGCATGACTATATGATCTGAGACTGGGCTCTCGATCATTTGCAAACAAGTATATTGATCAAATAACAATCGAAACCAGCACCAGACATGGTCGTGCAGAGCATTAAGCCACGCTACCACAAAATGTATCGTGAAATACTTGCATGGGACCATAATTATTGTACATTAGATAAAATAGTGCTCTTTGGCGCCAAATTGAACATTGTGGTGGATGAGTCTCTGGAGATTTGCATCGCGTAGGCATCCATGAAGCGATCCCTGCCTTTGGTCCCCTCAGCATCATCGGTCTGTTCTCCATCGCACACTTTTTTCGCTGAATGGGCGTTGTCTCCTTCATCCATTGCCTTTTGTTTGCCTTTTTTGTCTGGAAGACCATTCACCATAGTGCTTGCGGTGATAAATGCGACTGGGAGAACCTTCAAGCAAGTCTGAGAGCTTGTGGTCCCCTGTTTTGCTTATGTCAGACATATTCCGTGTAAGATCTCATTAAGTACCATTAGTTGTTGTGGAAGGTGAGTTACTTCCACCTCCAGGAGGCCCTCCGGCTTTAGCAGCTGCTCTAACTTTGGCTGAAGCAATTTAGAATTTATAAGTTTTGAGTGGTAAGAGATGTGCGATGGCTGCTTACAAGGGCTGTACATGGAGTCCCCCTCTGTAGATACATGTGTGTGCATGAGCGATCACGAGACGTAAAGTTAGGGCAGGACACTTACTGCCAATGTCACCATGTTTGAGACGCAGCACAGAAGAATGTGATGGGTCAGGGATGTTCTGAACCAGGGGGTCAGTCGTAAGTGTGATGGAGAAACATTCGTTATCTGCGTCCGGATAGTGTTGCCAGAAGGGCACACCACGAGGGTAGACAGCACTTGAAGGTAAGACTGTTAATGTCCATCAGCTCCAGACTGACACATGAAGTTTCATACCATGTATGTGCGTTCCTCACATCTTCAGCTTCACCATGGAGGATGTTTAGCATATCCATGGCCGCTGAACTGCACTTCATCACTTCCTCCAAATACTTTTCATTGCCATTGTTTTTGAGAGGGTGTACCTCGAATTGAGCGCGCACCTTTTTCCGATGCACCCAAGTCAAGCTAAAATTCATGTGGAGTATGTGAGTAATGAGGTGATCAGTAGTACTTTGCACACATACTCCAGTTCGATGGTCGACCACCACACCCGCAGTCGCAATTTGCAATGTGATTGTCAAGCATTTCTGGACCTGACTGAACTGACTGACTAATCCCTCAAGTGTAGACTTGGTAGTGCGGTGATCTCACAACAGCCAATTTTCAAAGGTCATAGCTAATAAAAAGACAAAGGATCACCTCAGTATGGTCGCCACATTTGTTCCCTACAGACTTTCATGACTTGACTCACACAAGTCATTGAATTTCATGACATTTATTTGCATCTCATCCAAAATGGAAATACTAATCAGCAAATGTGCAAAGGCCTGTCAACACCTGGTTACCACCTGAATGTCCTGGGAGCAACCTGGATGTCCTGAAGGTTTGGTAGGTATTTCATTATCACGTACAACACGCACGACAAATGAACCACCAGCAGCAGAACTGTTATTTTCACAAACAGAATCAGAACATTTACAACAGTAAGGGGGGAAACAAGTAGAATGTTAGTTATATGATCATTCACCTCTACAGTATGCTTTTCTATCCTTTTCATGGTATCTATACGTACATATTCATTACCTATATTTCTCTGACCATTCACTCACTTTCCTGACCTCCCTAGGACTTGTCTAGGTCGAGTTATCCCTTACCTTTGTGTTATGGCTTGTCTGTTTACATTTGTTTACCATACATCGCCCATATCCCAGAGTCCAGTGCTCCCTGCCTCTTTGGCAACTTACTCTGGACTCTAGGTACTGTATACCTTTACTATGCTTGAATACATTGGCAACTTACTCTGGACTCTAGTCCTGATCATCTTTGGTCACTCAGGAGCCTCTAGAAGCGGCCCATTCAGTTCCCATTGCAACAGGTTATGAGCCCTGCGCTATAGCCGCTTCAAAATTGTCATAGCTCAAGATCTACTGAAGATATCGACTTGATTCCTTCACCAATCGATTCCTTGCCCTCGATTACCCCCATCTACGTCTTCCCTACTCTAATCAGCTCTCAGGAGGTCGAGTTTATCTCCCTTCTTTAGATCTGACACATATCCCCTATCAATTTCGACTTCCTGCCCTCATATCTCTCCACCCTTTGACCCGCCGGCTTATCGGTCTTCACCATCGTCTTCTGCGACCTCAAAAACCTCCTGGAGAGAGTCTGAGGTGTTGTAGAGCGTCTGGATCATCAGGGATAAGGAGATCAGTAGCAGATCAGTCAATTTTGGGCCCTTAGTGCGCCCCTTTCCACATCTTTGCCTCATATTGAGGTCTATTCATCACATATCTGACTCGGGGTGTTGCCCATCGCATTCTGCGCCTTCAGAAGCCCCCATCCACATCCCTGTATCGTCTATTGGTCGAGCCTATCGCTCCCAGTACACCCATCTTGCTATCCATCCCATATCAGCAATCAGATCTCTTATCAGTCCCCTATCTAAGGGTCTCCTATCCACTATCCATTCATCCCCTCGTCCTCTGCTGCGTTTCTGCACCTCCTTTCATCGTCTGCAACCCATCCCCACCATCTCTGAGCCTTGCATCGCCCCTACTCCATGTCTACTGAGACCACCAATACCAAGTCACCTTCTGTGTTGACAGAGGCCAACTACTCTACCTGGAAGGGTGAGATGAAGGCTTATCTTCGCACTAAGGGGCTTTGGCTGCTTGTCTCTGGCAAGGAGACTCGCCCTCCAGACTCTCAGGCTGAGGAGCAGGCCAAGTGGGATCAGAAGCAGGACAAGGCTGCAGGTGAACTCTTCCTCCACTGTTCTGCAGACCAGAGGCTGCACTTTGAGGACGTCCAGGACGACCCTGCCTTGATCTGGACTACCCTCGAATCGACCCATGTCCAGCAGCTCCCTGCCACTCGCTTTAACGCCTGGGACGACTTCTTCACCATTAGGAAGCGCCCTGATGAGTCCTTGAGCACCCTTATTGCCAGGATTGAGGAGGGCATGGCCAAGATTCAAAGACTTCGCCCCCAGGACTCTAGTAAGCCCTACAGTCTCCCTGATCTTGATGCTGAGCTCGTCTCTATGGCCATGATCCGTGCTCTGGGCGAAGACTATGCCCAGTTTGCGTCGAGCCTCATCCTACTCAAGTCCTTGGACAAGAAGGAGCTCAAGGCTGCTTTCCTCGCTGAGGAGACTCAGCGCCGTCGACGTGCTGATGCTCTTGGAGTATCCTCTAGCGATTCTGCCCTTGCCTCTGCCACTGGGGCGCCTGCTAGTAGCTGTAAGTGCGATGCCAATGCTGTCTGCGACTTCTGTGGTAAGCCAGGCCATTGTGTGCACAAGTGCTTTGCTATGCAGCGTGCTAGGGATGCACATAAGACTAGGCAGGCGCCCAATCAGTCTGGACAGCAAGGTAGGCGGCCTAGGAACGCTAACAAGGCCTCTGAGGCGTCCTCTACCACATCTCAGCCCTCCCCATCGTCCTCCATCGTCCCTGCCTCTGCACACGTGTCCTCTACTGTCCAGAATGTGTCCGAGTTCGCTGGTAATGCAAGTCTTCGCTCTTTTGACTCCTCTAGTCCTCTATGCCCTCTCCAGCTCGATGCTGACGCTGATTGGAATGCAGACACAGGGGCCACTTCTCATATGACCCCCCATCGCCACTGGCTTCGCAATTATACCCCAAAACGCGTGCCAATTCGACTTGCCGACTCGACCATAGTCTACTCAGCTGGTGTGGGGTCAGTGGTCTTTAATCCTGTGTCTGTGGGCGAGGTAAAGAGTCTTAGAGCGGTCGAGTTCACTCGAGTCTTGCATGTACCTGATCTTCGTAACAATCTCCTCTCAGTTCTGTATCTAACTCGAAATTGCGGCTTCTACGTCGATATATCTGCTTCTCATATGACCTTCTGTCGACCTAAGGGCTCCCCACTCTTCTATGCATCTATCAACGCCCACAACGCCGCATTTCTGGACGGTACCACCTCTCCTATCACCGAGTTCGCTTCTCCTGCCTCCACCTGTCCCTTGGACATCGCTCTCTGGCATCGGAGACTAGCTCATCACCATATAGCTGGTGTTAGGACGCTTATCGACCACAAGTTGGTCACTGGACTTAGGCTGGACTCTAGGGCGTCGCCAGACCCTGTCTGTGAGCCTTGCCTTGCTGGTAAGATGCATGCCAATCCCTTCCCTCCTAGTGAGTGGAGGGCGAGCCGTCCTTTGGAGCTTGTGCACACTGATGTCCACCAGCTCCCCTACCGCACCTTCAGTGGCTATCGCTACTGGGTCACCTTCATTGATGACTATTCACGTTATCGCTTCGTCCTGCCTGTCAAGGCCAAGTCAGATGTCTTTGAGGCGTTCAAGACGTTCAAGGCTTATGCTGAGAACCAATCTGAGCGAAAACTCAAGACTCTGAGGGATGATAAGGGTGGTGAGTACATGTCCAATGCTTTCCTTGACTTCACTACCCAGAGTGGCATTGTGCGTCAGCACACAGTCAGGGCTCGTCCGCAGCAGAATGGTGTTGCAGAGCGAGCCAATAGGGTCTTAGCTGAGCGCATCACGACGATGCTGGACGAGTCTGGCCTTCCGAAGGCCTTCTGGGGTGAGTGTCTTGCAGCTTTGGTCCATGTCTGGAACAGGTGCCCCACTGATGCAGTGGATAATGCCACGCCTTATGAGCTGTGGCACGGGCGGAAACCTTGTTGCAATGGGAACTGAATGGGCCGCTTCTAGAGGCTCCTGAGTGACCAAAGATGATCAGGACTAGAGTCCAGAGTAAGTTGCCATTGTATTCAAGTATAGTAAAGGTATACAGTACCTAGAGTCCAGAGTAAGTTGCCAAAGAGGCAGGGAGCACTGGACTCTGGGATATGGGCGATGTATGGTAAACAAATGTAAACAGACAAGCCATAACACAAAGGTAAGGGATAACTCGACCTAGACAAGTCCTAGGGAGGTCAGGAAAGTGAGTGAATGGTCAGAGAAATATAGGTAATGAATATGTACGTATAGAGACCATGAAAAGGATAGAAAAGCATACTGTAGAGGTGAATGATCATATAACTAACAAACCTGATGTCTCCCACCTAAGGGTGTGGGGGTGCACTGCCTATGTGCATGTGCAGAAGGACAAGCGCTCTGCGCTCGAGTCCCATATGGAAAAGTGCGTATTCATTGGTTATCCAGATGGTTACAAGGGCTGGAAATTCTATAACCCCACCTCCAAGCGCACTGTCATCTCAGAGCGTGCTGACTTCGACGAAAGGTATTTACTTCTCTCAAAGAGGCCTTCTGGTGCGCTTCAGCCCCCTCCTCCATTGCCCTCTGTCGAGTCTAGGGTGATTCCAGACTCTGATGATGATGATTCTGACGAGGCACTGACTCATGGGGGGAAGAGGCGTCCACCAGGTCCACCAGTCCCACCTGCCATCGCTCCAGTGCCCCCTGCATTGGCTATTATGCCTGCAGTTGACCCAGCTGTCCCAGATGTCCATCCTGGTGATAGACCTGGCGTTCTGAGGCCTGATCCAGCGCCTCCTCAGCCTCCTGCCCACGTACCAGTTGTGCCAGCAGCCCCAGCTGCTCCTCCTCCCGCTTCTCCTGTTGGCATTGGTGCCAGACTGCCCACTCGAGCCAGACGCCCTCCTCGTGAGTGGTGGAAGCTTTCTAATGCGCAGTTAGATGATGAAGTCGATGATGAGGAGGAGGAAGCTGATGTGGGCTTTGAGGTATGTCACTCTGTGGCTACCCCTGCTGAGCCAATGTCCTTTGCAGAGGCCCTGCGTCGTCCTGATGCAGAGCAGTGGCGCCAAGCCGCGCTTGAGGAGTTGGCTGCTCACCAGAGCAATGGGACTTGGAGACTCGTCGAAAGACCCAAAGACCGTAAGGTCATAGGGTCGAGGTGGGTGTTCAAAGTCAAGCGCAATGCTGATGGCTCCATAGAGCGCCACAAGGGACGCCTTGTGGCCAAGGGCTACAACCAGCGCCCTGGCTTTGACTACCTCGAGA